CTATTAACCTCCAGACTTTTCCAGCAACATGTTACTAAATAATGAAGTGTTCAAGACACTTCCACTTTTCTGTTACTTGAAGCCATTCGCTTTTATGTCTCTGATAAGAAGTAATTCAAATTCCTTTAGGAATAGCCACTAACCACAAGAGGCTTTGAGGTGCTAAGCAGTGTAGTTTGGCAAAGACCTGGAGAATGTATTTAACAATATACTCTATCAGAACAGTACCCAAAAATGCTGTTCTTGCTCCAGTGCCTTCAAGTTTGCAGTAAAATCATTCTTTCTGGTGGTATTTAGTGTTCACTTTCTTTCTATCTCTCACCCCTCTCCCTCCACATCATCCTTCCATCGGACCAAGATGTGGAAGATGAAGTCCCAGGACAGACACATAGGAAGAAACTTTGTGACTACAGCAGGTCTGTCTTGCCTTGTCTTGGGACAGTTCCATCCCAGGGGCCTATCAAACACTTAGAAGAATAAATTTGGAGTGGACCTGTCCTACCAGGCTTCCAAGCATGTTTGCTCTTTCCTGACTTGTTGTGATGGACAGGACCTAGGACCCTGCTAAATCTGAAGTCTGGAGAGGTAGAGAGCATTGTTTGTTCTTTTATCATAAACACTGAAACCAAGGCTTAGAGAAATTGAGATTTGCTCAACGATTCATAACAATGCCTTGATCAATTTTAAACATGTATTTGCTACTAGTGAGTTGGGTTTTACAATAAAAGGTTTCAAAACTGGTGACTGAAAGGTCAGCATGTCCTGCCACAATAGTCACTATTAGAGAAAGTATGGTGCACATTTGCATTCAGGGCCACATGGAAAAGGGACCTGCGGTTGGTAATTTTGCATTGCATTGTTCTGCCTGCTTTGCTTGTGCTCTGAATGAATGGAGTAGACTAAACCCACAGTCAGTTGTGCCTGAGCCTGAGGAAGTAGCAGAAGATGGCCCCAAGGCCAGCATAAGGCCTGGTGCAGCCTCTTCCATTGGGATGGGTCTGGATGGAAGATTCCTCACAGTGAGAATAGGCTCAGCCTCTTGAAATTTTCTATAATTTTAGACTTCCAAGAAAAGTGCAAGGCATATTTTCAAGGTCTCATTTACAATCCCTGGAACTTTTGAGAGATGCCTTTGGTTTGGTTTTTATTGTTTGTTTTGCTTTTCATTGCTTTCCTTGGAGACCTGCCCAAGTGTCCAACTTAGGGATTGAGCAAAATTTTCCATTTTAAAAAGAGAAAAGGCACTGGCTCTGGTCTCTTGGTATGATGCTGATTCCGCTTAAGAAGGACCTGCCACTCTTTTTTGTTCTTGCTGATCTCGATGGCAGGCAATAAAAGGAAGAAAAGTTTAAGGGAAACCATGCTGAACACTGGAATGTTCACCCCTACTCTTTGCAGACTGAATTTCTTCTCACCCTCTAGATCTCAGTTTAGGTATCACCTACCCAGAGCAGCCTTTCCAGTCACCCATCTGGGGTGGACACCCCTGTGATGATTAATTCTTGTGTAAGCCCTTGGCTAACCCCAGGAGATTTGGTCAATTGTTATCCTGCATGTGTCTGTAAGAGTGATTTGGGGTAAGATTTACATTTAAATCTGCAAACTTTAAGTAGATCACCTCCTTCTTTAGTGTGGCTGAGTTGCATTCAATCAGGTGAAGGTATAGATTTAAAAAAGGAAAAAAAGAGTGGTCTCCCCTGAGCAAGGGGGAGTACCCTGGCAGATGGTCTTTGAACACAGGCTTTTCCTTTCTCCACAGCAAACTGCCTTGGCCAGATGAAGCTCTTCCCCAAGTCTCCAGCCTCCAGCCTTTCCTAGGAGACTCTGGGCCCACAAAGCTTCCACAATTGCTGAGTTAATTCATATATATATGGACCACTGAGCTTTTTTAAATACAAGGTCTCACTCTGTAGTCCTGGCAGGCCAGGGACTATGTAGACCAGGTTAGCCTCAAACTCACAAAGATCACCTACCCCTGGGTCCCAAGTTCTGGGATTAAAGGTGTAGGCCTCCACATCTAGAACTCCATTCAGTCCTTTTCTCTGGAGGACCCCATCTTCCCACACACAGCAGTGTTCTTTTCCTCAGCCCCTGTTCTCTTCCTTCAGAGACTCATTCCAATGTGCAGCCATTTCATTCATGTTTTTTCTGTGTCTTTATCAACTGTGACTTCTGTGAGGCCAGTCAGTTTGCCTTGTTCTTGCACCTGTGTCCCTGGGTGCCGTGATCTTAAACGGTAAAAGTTTGGGTTCTTTCTTGACACAAGTGAGAGATGCTGGAAAGTTCAAGAAGTGTTAGAATTCTAGTGATAGAATGCCCCAGTTGCAGAAAGTCTGCATTATCAATCAGCCACTTCCCTCCCTGCTGAGAGAACTGTTTGTTGAGAGCCTGTTTCCCAAGACAGCCTGTCTCCTTGAGCAAATGGTCCTAAGAAGAGATCATAAACCCTCTGTCTCTTTAGATAAACCAAAGCATGCAGTGCCATGAAGAAGGGTACGATAAACTTCTCAAGAATGCCCCTAGTCACACAGTAAGTCAGCCATACTATATCCTATATAAGCCCAACAGCCCCTCCCCAGGGCAGCAGTCGACTCCAGCATGCAGGAAGGCTGTTGTCCCTCCCTGAAGTGCTTCAGTAAGTTCAGTCTTGTCTGAGGTCAGGCATGGTCTCCTGCTCCCTCTTCTATTGTTCCTGTATTCTAAACCCCAATACCTAACACCTAGAAGAGGTTTTTAGGTCATTTGTGGCATATCCATAAAGGGAATTATGGGGCATTGTTCTCTTCCACTTTCTCTCTTTTTTGCCATCTGTCTTTAGTGTGAGAGTTTGCTGTGTTCTATGCACTACCCACCGTGATGTGCTGCCTCACCAGAGGCACAACAGCCACAGGGTCAACTGACCACAGACAGAAGTCTCCAAAACTATGGACCATAATAAGTCTTTCATCCTTTTTGTTGTTGTCTCACTGTGTAGCCCAGCCGGCCTTGGACTCACAACCCTCCTGCCTTAACCTCCCAAGAACTTGGATTACAGGTATGTGCTACCACGCTCAGCTAAATTTCCCTCTGAAGAAATTAATTCCATAGCTTTCATTTGTTATAGTGATGAAGCGCCAACTAATACACTAGCCCATTCCAGAAGTTTTGGGCACCTAGCAAAAGCTATTAAATACTGGTTGAGCGAGTGAGAGGCTAGAGTTCTCCAATATACTATAGACTGGACGAACATGTTCCAATATGTATGAGGACATTGTGTTAAAAGTTCTCAAAATTGGGCTGGCAAGTTGACTCAGTAGGTAGAGGTATTTGCTGAGCTGAATCCCTAGTACCCACATGTTGAAAGGAGAGAGCCAACTCCTGAAAGTTGTCCTCTGATCTTACATGTGCGTGTGGCACACATGCACCCACACATATACAGACACACAAAATAAATGTAATAAAAAAACTTTTATTATTTAAATAAATAATGTATTGAGAATTTCATACATGCATATAAGGTGTTTTAATCAAATCCATGCCCACTCTCTCCCCTCCACCTCCTCCCATATCTCCCCCATCACTTTTTTTCTGATAACTTAATGTACTCTTTCTTCTTCTTTGATTTATTTATTTTTATGGGGCTTTTGCCTACTCTAACAGTCCCCCCTCTGAAGAGGTATCCCTAAAATCTTTTAAGGATTAGATACAAGCTCCCCAATACTTTCGACATTTTTGGCCTTTGGAACAGAGAATGTTGCTAACAGGCCCAAGGACACTTTGAATTTTAGCCCAGAAACTGGCTACATTTCTTTGGGGTCTTTTTACCCTAACTGCCTAGCCAATTCCTACCTCCAATCTTTATTCTTAAGAGGTTACCCAAATTGCCAATAAAGAATCGGGATTCAGACTGCTCTGGCTTCTTCCATGCTGAACAGGGACGCAAGGTGAGGCAATTGGGGTTACCCCTTCAGTGGGTCTATCTAAAAGACTCCCAAATTGCATAACTCTTGTCTCCAGGGGGAAAAGAAAGTCCTTGAATCGTGACTAGGAGATGTAAAGGAGAAGTAAAGGCAAGAGTAATTAGCATTATAAATTTTAGACAGGGAACTTAAAAAAAGTCAGAACAGGGCAATTTTCAAATGCTCATATGAGAGCCCATTGGAGTTTCTTGACAAGGGCTTCCAAAACGGGTCTCCACTTCTTCCCTGAACAAGAGGACAGGTGACTCACCACAGTTATAGGATATTTTGAGAGATGTTCCATAGTCCCCTGGAATTTGGTCAACCTTGGAGGGCAAGAGGCAAAAACTGTCCCTTAAGTCCCTCTGACCACATTAGTATAGGCCTCAAACTATGGCTGTTAAACATCCAAAAAGGTTAGTTCTACCGGTCTGGTACTTTTAATTATCATGTGCTTTGTAGATAAGGCTTGGGTAGAAAAAGAAAAAAAAAAACAAACATTCCCAGATAAACTTTGACTAGATATGTATTTTGTTCCTTAAACTAGTTGACTAAACTATGACCACAGAAATTTAAGATTATGTGTATATCATTTTTGTCTCATCCTTTATCTATCATAACAACCTACACAGACCTTCATTGCTTGCTTAGGCTTTCTCATTTTTTTTCTATTTTAGAAAATATCTCCATTCCCATATCCTTTTAACACCTTTTACATTCTCATTTTCTTTTTTTAATAATTATGAGACATAATAGCATTAACAAATAAATTTTCCATCTGTTGTGAGAATTATTTCGTGGGATACTAAGTGATGCTTATTCCCTTTCAAGGTTCTAATGTCAAGCCCAGTTTTACTGGGGAACCAATGAATTTATTGTACTTACTTACTGAGATAACTGAGGGGTTGCTGAGGGGTTTGTATTACCTGAGGGTATGCACGCTGGAAAGCCTTACCCAGCCTTCTCTTCCTAGCCTTCCCCAGATTGTATAATTTGGCCCTCCGTTTAGCCCTTCCCTAATCCTGGAGGCCATGTGTGATTAGGGCCAAATTACATACAGTTGGCTGGGAAGAGTGGCTGGATACTCCATTGAGGGTCCAATGACCCTGCTTGGCCCTCCTTTAATGAATGAGCACTCATTCATAAAAAACCTTTTTAAGTTCTTACAGCCATGATATGCTACTACTGTTATCCACTAAGGGGGCTGGAATCACACATATGTACATAAACATAAAAAGAGAAGTAAAATAGCACAGAAAATAATAATTTTGGCAGAGATGTAGAGAAATTGAAACCCTCATACATTGTTGGTAGACATATAAAATATTACAACTACAATAAAAAACAATTTGGTGGTTCTCCAAAAGGTTCAATTTATAGGCAACCTATAATCTAGCAATTCTATTCATATATACTATTATGATGGCCCAAAGCTGGAGACAGTCTAAATGACCAGCAACTGGCCCATAAATAAACAAAATGTCATATTTCCAATAAATAAAAGGAATAAAATACTGATTCATGCTACAACATGGATAAACCTTGAAAGCATCATGATAAGTGGGAAAAAAACCAAGCTCATAAGGCCACATGTTGTATGGTTCCATTTATTCAAAATGCCCAGGCTGTGCAAATCCATATAGATAGAAAGTGGATGAGTGGTTACCAAGGGCTGTGGAGCTGCTCATAGGTAGGGGGATTTGGAGAGAAAATGTCTGTAACTAGATGCTAGTAATTAGATGCTAGTAATGACTGTATAACTTTGCAAATATGCTAAAAGCCTCTGGATTATATACTTGTAAATGGTGAGGTGTATAGAATGTAAATTATATTCAATCATCTTAATAATAAATAGAATGAGGGAGAAAGCTCTTGACAAGAGGTTTATGGCCAGTACTGGTGTGGAATGTGGTCGCCAGCTAAATGGAAAGTACAGTATCCCAGCCACTCCAAGTGAGGCCCTAGCACTATGTAGAATGGTCATGATCACAGGAGGAGAGAAGTAATGCTAGTTTCTGGTATGTTTTTTGACATATAAACACAGCTACAGGTGCCACACCATTCTTAAGACTGACAGCCACTGTAAATTTTATGAATTTATGGATGTTGCCTCTTCTAAAAAATATTTTATTTATTATTTTTATGTGTATAAGTGTATTGCCTGAATGTAGGTAAGTGCAGCCATGTTGTGCAATGCCCGAGGAGGTCAGAAGAGGGTGTCCAATTTCCCTGTTGTTGAATTTACCATTACAGATGGTGGTAGGTGCTGAGAATCAAACACCAGTCCTCTGCAAGAGCAGGCAGTGCTCTTAAATGCTGAGCCATCTCTTCAGCTGCTGGATGTTCCCTCTTTGGAGACGATGTATCACAAACTTTGATGGAGAACTCATGGTCCCAAACCATCTGTCCACCCTTTTTCACTTCCTCCCCTGTGAACAGAAATCTTTGGGACAGTATTTAGACAGGAAGCATGGCTGGTAGAAAATGTCACACTTCACTACTACAAAAGCATCATCCTCCCCACACATCAGTCTCATGGAGGAGACTAAAGACAGTCTCTCTCAAACACAAATCCCTCCTGTCTCACCTCACAACCATGCACACTGGCTAATGCAGTTTCACTTCTGGCAACTGCTCCAAGCATCTATCAAAGGCAATTGCATTTCTAGACATCTTGGGGCTCACAAGAGAAGCCTTTGGCACATCTCACTCCAAGGATGCCCTTTAACTCTTGGGGAGACCATGGTGGAAGAGAAGATAGGAATGCCTTGGGAGGGTTTGGGAGACCATGTGTTAACACTCACACAGGAAACATCTTTCCCTAGATGTCTAGCTCTTTCAAATAAGAACTTAAGAAAGGGAGTAAAGGATTATGACTGGTCTCTAGCTCATCAACCCTATGTGAGCTCATTAGAAGTCATCAGAGCCCCTTCCTCACAGAATAAGGTCACAGAAATGTGATACAGAAGGCATAAGAATTGGCACTGGAAGATTGCGGCTCACCACAGAATAGGCTCATAAAGACCCAGGTACCCCTGGTCAGAAAGAAAACATGTTCTTTTGAAATTAAAAAAAATCAATAACTGCAGTTTTTACTCCTTAGACAGGAAAAGTGAGTCCTAAATGCTTATTCTGGGTGTTATTTGAAGTAAGCAGCAGAAGCCTGGGATTTTTGTGAGTAAACTAATCTTGGGTCATCTTCTGAAGTGTAAGCAGGCCTGTGGGTTACCAGAATGATCTGCAGGAAGATGACCAGTGCATTAGTTGTTTCTCCATTGCTGTGACAAACACTCTGACCAATACCAACTTGAGGAGGAAAGGGTTTATTTGGCTTACATCTCCTGGGTCACAGTTCATCGCTGAGGGGGCCCAAGGTAGGAACTCAGGGCAAGAACCTGGAGGCAGGAGCTGAAGCACAGGCCATGGAGGAACACTGCTTACTGGCTTGCTTTCCTGGCCTGTGCACAACCTGTTTTCTTATATAATATAGGCCCACTTGCCCAGGGGTGGCATCCCCCATAGTGGGCTGGGCCCTCCTACATCACTCAACCATCAAGTAGATGTCCCACAGACATGGCCACAGGCCAGGCCAATGGAGGCAATTCTCCCAGTTGAGGCTCCCTCTACCCAGGTATGTCAAGTTGATAACTAAAGCTATCCAGCACAACCAAATTTTCCAGTTTTCCTGAAAAACAAGTGAAGAGAAGTAGATCCAAATCTCCCTTACAGAATTAGACCTCCAATTCCACCAGAGCTATTAGCAGCTTCCTATATAAGGGGCTGGGAGCGGGAAGGCCTGCAGAGCAGCCAGTACAAGAACATGAATGTTGAGAGATCCTAAGTAGTCACAAAGTAGCAGAGGCAAGGGAAAGGTGGGCTAGCAATTTCCATGTTAGAAATCTGTCTGCCAATATAAGGCTAATTGGCATGTGCCTCATGACAGGAGGAACACAGTTTCACATTCTCCTGCATACATAACTGAGGCTCTAATCACCAGAAATGATCAGCCAAACTCAGACTGAGGAACAGTCTACAAACTCACTTGCCTACACGCATTACAAATGAATAGGTCTGTATCATTAATACACAGGCAAACTTGGGAAAAGCTATACATTAGAGACCAAAGGTGTGACAACAGAACACAACACAAGGTGTTGGATTTTCTTTTGCTACAAAATCTAATACTGTGTCAACTAAAATTAAATAAATATAGTATCTGTAGGTAAGAAAATAGTGTTGTAACAATGTTAATTTCCTGGTTTGGGCAATTGTGCTGTAACTGCATGAGAAAATTCCTTGTTTTTAGAAAACACACACTGAAATATTTAGAAGCAAAGAGATAATATATCTGTTCCTTATTCTTAGATGATCCAGGAAAATATTGAGAAGGGAAAGGAGAGGGGGGAAAAGGGGGAGGGGGAGGAGAAGGAGGAGAAGGAAGAGGAGGAGAAAGAGGAAGAGGAGGAAGAGGAGGCATATATTATAAACAAAATCAAGATTCTGCAATTTAAGAAGGGAAGAATGGATATTAGAACACAAAACAGGCACATTGACCTTCCTAAGTGTCTTCTATTGCTGAAAAATCATTTTGTCTATTCAACCCCAAGCTATTGAAACATGTAATGATATATAATACATAAAGGGAGATTTGTTTTTCCCCTGTGGGACTGAAATTACTAAGAAAAAAAATAAGACAGAAACATAAAACATTCCCATTCAGAGAACTGCAGACTAGTTGTCCATGGCAGGGTCTGTGAGAAGCACCACTTAGATTCCTCCCTTCCCCTAACATGCCAGGTGACCATAAGAAGCTTGAGAGAAAGGGAGTCCTCACTGGTTTACCTAGTGCAACGTTCATGAAAATAAGTTATTTTTTCCACTTTCCAAACTCAAAGGAAAGTAAGAGTTCTATATTCATTACTTTTCTCATCACTGTGACTAAATACCTGATAAGAAATAACTTAACCAAAGATGGATTTATTTTGGTTCTTGGTTTTTAAACACAGTATGTCATGCTGGGGAAGGCACTGCAGCAGAGTTTGAAGCAGATAGTTCACATGTCAGTGACAAGAAGAGATTTAGACTGGAACCAGAACTCAGATATAGCATTCCAAGTCCACTCCTCACTGACCCACTTCTTTCAGAAAGGCCCAACTCCAAAACATTCCACAACCTTCCAAAACAGAACCACCAGTGGGGACCAGGTGTTCAAATATGTGAGCCTGTGATGAACACTTTATATCTAAACAAAACATTCTGCCGTGTCCCCCATAGACTCATGGCCATCCCATTATTCAAAATTCATTCAAGCCATCTTCAAAATTCTCCAGAGTATTACAGTTCTAACACTTGAAAATTCCACAGTCCAAAATCTCTCCTGAGACCCAAAGAAAATTCTTATTGTAAGCCCCTGTATAATCAATATACCAATTACATACTTTCAACATACATAGAACAAAGTAAACATTGCCATTCCCAAAGTGGGGAACAGGAAAACAGAAAGGAAAGGTCAGGAATCAGATCTAAGCAAGACCCAAAATTAGCAGGACAACTACCAATTCCATATGCAGCATCCAGGGCTCATGATGACATCATCTGGGTGTAAACTGACTTGGAGGGCCCTGCCCTTCCAGGACTCTCACCTGAAGCATGTATGTCCTTTCTCTTATATCTACTTGGTACCTGCAGCTTTCCTCAGCAGATGTCCCAGGTTTCCTGAGTCTCCAGCTTGCCCACTGCAAATGCAGATGTTTCCTAGTTGATCTATTGCTCTCGAGAATCTCAGCTCATTCAGAATGAAGAGTGAAGTACCATGTGCAATAGGTGAGTCAGCAACATTGAGAGCTCAGTGAAGAGAAGTCATCCAGCCAAACCAAGATCAAAAACCCAAGTCTTCCATGAAAGATCCCAAACTCAAGGGAGGCAATGTCAAGTAAGATAAGAGTTCAGTGGATGAACCAGGCAGGTGAACACTTACAAGTGTGTTTTATTGCCCCAGGCTAAAGACTCAACTTACAGCTCTGATACCCGTTGTGGGGTTGCAAACCACCCCCCCAAAGACAAACAGAATGGCCAGGCTACAGGCTGTCACTCTGGCTATTTGAGTCTGAGCAGCCACCATCCCAAATAGATCTATGATGGTCCTGATACAAAACTAGAGGAATTTGGTGATTTGAGCAAAGCCCCAAATGAGAAATGTTTTTCTTGAATGGGTCTACCAAATTACATGGATATTTGTGAGGTTAGATAACACAGTGGTCAACATCTTCAATCCTGCTGTCAGACAAACACAGGATGGAATCTCTATAGATTCCTAGGTGAGTTACCTAAATACTCCAAAATTATATTTTCTAGTTTGCAATGTTGGGTCAATCAAAGTGTCAAACTCAACGGGCCACTGTGAGTAATAAATGAAAGAATTTATTAAATAGGTCTAGCACGCAGTAGAAGTTCAATAAATGTTAGATTCTCACTGACTCAGTGCCATTATCATGTCCATTTCCTGTAAGAGGGAAAATGACTTCAAGACTTATGTCAAAAATCTAGAAAATTCCTTCTACTATACTCTTTTTCAAAGTCAGAATCATTTCCAGATGTCCAGCTACCGTCAGTGTTCATGTAAATATTTTTATAATAATATATTTATAGAATGGACAAGACAGAGATCTCACCATCATATGCCTATAATCTCCAGTTACATGACCAAAGACAAAGCTTATCCCATGAAACGTCCTGAGAAGTGACTCAGATGTCAGGCAGTCTGCCAGAGCAAAACCACAGAAAATTTCTCTCCCCCTCCTTCTGTCCCTCCCTGTTCTCTTTCTATCTGCATCATCGAGGAAAAGCCTCAAGAAACCCTCTGCCTTCTAGCTCACTGGCTCTTTGTTGACTCAAAGATCACTAATTTGGAGGCCACATGCTGAGCAATACATTGCTCATTTCCCACTAGCTTTTCTGGAGATGGGATAACATATCTTTCATGCGGATTGCAATAACGGTTGCCAATATTACTTTTCAGGATGCTGAAGGCTGCTTTCACCGAAAACACTGCTCTTTCCTTGGGCTTGCAGGTGTCCCATGGGTACAGGAATGGGAAGGGAAGACTTGGTATCTCCACCTTCATGTCATTCTGCCCCCTTTGAACCTCAACCTTTTTGGGGTCAGATGCTATTCAGCTGTCTACATAGACATGTTGAACATAATAAAGGGAGTTGACTTGACCCAAATCTGCTTAGTCCCTCTCCCCACATCAAGGCTGAAAGCACTACCAGCCACCATGACTGATAACATCAGACCATGGAAGGAGTGAAAAGATGTGGCATCCAAGCTCCTGGAAGATCTTCACCTATGTCCAGAACACAGGAATTCCCTTTCCCCTTTATTACCCTGTCTCTTTCCTTCATTATTCTTAACCTATGTTTGTAAGCTCTCAACCTGCCTTCT